CTCTCCTTCCTGTACACCAAGATGGGCCCTCCAGCTTTGTTTGTAATAAAATGGAAGCTGAGGGTGGTGGCACACCTGTAATCCCAGCACTCTGGGAGGCTGAGGCAGTCGGAGTGCATGTTCAAGCCCACCCTGGACAATTTAATGACTTAGTGAGACCCTGTCTCAAAAAATAAAAAAGCGCTGAGGTTGTGAAAAGGCTCTTGGATCAATAAAATAGTATTAAGTGGAGGAGGCGAAGGGAGAGCAGGGACAACGGGAAAAAATGAGAACCAAGACCTGTCATGTAAAAGTACAAGATCCCAATGATGAATGTAACTGTACTGTATACCTAAAATGTACCAATAAACTCAATAGAAAAAAAAAATTAAGTGGAGACAACCATACGTTCATGATGAACAGGTCAAAGGGGCATGTTATACTCACCTGACCCCTAGGGTCAGGTTCTATCTGAAAGTCATCATCTGCTTGTGTCTTCTGTGTCTCTCTCCCTCGTTCTCACACACTGATGCCCCAGGGCTGGGCCGCTTCACTTTTCCTTCTTCTGCCCATGTCTAAGAAGGAACACAGATCTGAAGTCCTCCCGAGACTAAATTTCCTTCACGCATGTTTACAGGACCAGTTGTTCTGCTCCAGAGCTGAGGTAAGACTGGAAACAAAGGCGGAGTGGGTGAGAAGAGGGTGAGGCCCCAGTGTGCGAGGGAGACAACCAGCTCAGTCCAGGGCGCCCCAGCAGTGCCTCTGCGCTGGTGTCCCCTGCCACTCTGCTCCCCATGCCAGTGAGGCGTCCTGAGGTCCAATTCAGTTCGGATACCAGCCGGATCCCAGACCTCCTGGAAGAGCTTTGTCACGGGATTCTGCCCCGCTCCAGACGCCATGCACAAGTCCTAGGTCTCTGATCCTGTGGACCAACTGGGCTATAGATCGGGGTTCCTGTGACTGCACCCTCAGGTTCTGTAAGCTGCTATGGCGGCTCACAGAGCCAGGAAGCAGTTGCGCTCACTGGTTCATTGCGAAGGATGCAAATGAAAGTCAAGTGCAGAGGCTGGCAAGGCAGGTGGGAGGGGTATGGAGCTGCCTTGCTCTTTCCAGACTCAGGCCTACCCAGTGCCTCCTGCCTTCAGCCTGCAAAGCTCTCCAAGCCCTCCGTGTAAGGCTTCTACGGAGTATCCACTGGGACGGTATCGGTCTGTGGTGATTTAAACGTTTGTCCTTAGACTGGGCCTGGTGGCACACACCTGTAATCCCAGCACTCAGGAGGCTGAGGCAGGAGAATCGCTGTGAGTTTGAGACCAGCCTGGGCTACATAGTGAGTTCCAGGTCAGTCTCAACTACACAGTGAGACCCTGTCTCAAAAAAAAAAAAAAATAAAAGTTTGTCCTTAGCACACGTTTGCAGTACATAATGTTCACATTCATCTTCAGGGTTAGGTACGTGTACTTAATATATCTCCACTGCTTTTATTCCTCCTCCCCTCCCCTCCCTCCCTCCTCCCTCCACCTCTAGGTCCCCTTCCCATGTGTGGAAGATCTACCTCCCTATTTCCTGTCATTCCTCTTTTATTTTGCTCTTTAGATTATTTATACTGTGGCTTTGTCTTAGAAGAGAAGATATGCAATATTTAAAATGACATTTCCTTTGACATTATGGCCTCAAGGTGCATCCATTTTCCCACAAATGATTCAAATTTATCCTTTTTTATGTCAGAGTAATTCTCCATTATGCATAAATACCATAGTTTCTTTATCCATTCATCTGGATGGAGATGCAGGCTGCTTCCAACACTTAGCTAGTGTGGTTGTGCTGTTTGTAAACACGGGTGAGCATGGATCACTGTGGTGTGATGTCTTTAACGCTTGTGGGAAGACAGCTAGAAGGCCATAGCCCTGGGGTCCCTTGTCTGAGCCTTCTGAGGAATGTCCACGATGATTTCCCCCGTGGCTGTCCCACATTCCCATCACAGCATACAAAGGGTTCGTCCCCACCACCCAGCCTCACCAGCAATGCTACTGTTTGCTTTTTTGATGATAACCATTCATTCAGGAGTAAGATGGAATTTCAAGTTTGTTTTAATTTTTAATTCTATGACGGCCAGAGATGTTTAACATTTGGCGATTAAGCTCAGCCTTCAGCCCTCACGGAAAGGTCAGGGAGCGAGACTCCAAGTCCGGATCCAGCCTTCCTCCCCACTGCCACTCGGAGAGCCACAGAGAAAAGCTCTGCCCAGACCTGGGACAAAGACCAAATATCCCTTTCTTAGTACATCACAGCGTCACAAGGGTCTCTTCGGCTTACAGTGCACACCTGTCTGGGCTGGGCTGCGTGTCACTCTTGCTGGGCCAGGATCGCAGAGGGATCGAGGTGGAGGGAAGTGGCCCTGGAGTGCACCGCGTCATCTCACCGCACACCTTGTTGGCCAGGCCACAGCTAACTGCACATTCGTGCCAACAAATACCACCATGTGCTCAGAAGGAGCTGAGAAGTTCATGGTGACCAGCACTAGTGACTACCACTGAAGGGACTCAGGTCCCAGGTCTGGGATGAGGTAGAGTGGGGAAACCAACTCCCCTCACCAGGTGGAACTGAGCAGGTCAGGGCTGCCCCGTGCGCAGAGTGGCAGCAATGGGCTCTCCACCACGGCTGGCTTGTTTGTGTACAAAGCCTCCCAGAAGGAAGCAAGGAATCAGCTTCTATGATGGAGCGTGCCGAGAAATTTTCATTCTTACTAGCTACCCTTTTATAATGTTTGATAATTTAACCCCCTGACATTAATTCATGTGCGTGGATCTATAAGACCAGGTCCCTGCCCTATTTAGCAAAAGACAGTGTAATTGACCGAGGGAAACCAAGCCCTTGAGCGCTCCTGACTCCGAACAACCAGACTTCACCCAGAGCAGAGGACGTGCAAGTGCTGACGGGCCAGAGGAGGTGAGAAAACACTGCTCCGCTCCAGGACCCGGGCCTACACCCGCCCCAGACACATCCTGCATCTATCACTTCTCTAGAGGTAACAGAGAGGACTCCTGCCTTATCCCCAGGTCTCAGAGCTTTTTCCGGTACAAAGGCTGGGACCTGAACCTTTCCGTGTCGTCTCTGGCTACATAGAAGAGAAAACAGTGGAGACCGTGCCCTCGGCCTGAGCAAGGGCGTCCTATAGACGGATTCACTGAGAGCCTCAAGGCCCCCCACGTCCCTCCCCACTCCGTCCTGGGCCAATTCAGGAAGCGGAGGCAGAAAAGGGCTCAAGGAGAGGGCTGTGCACTGGACTACAGCAAGGGCAGGGCGCCCTCCCGGAGCCTGCCAGGCATCTCTCCTTCACCCTCTTAGCGGGACCAGCCCCTGCGGAAGGATAGGAGGCCTGAGATTGAGATTTCATCAAACCGGCGACATGACCCAGCTGGGCCCACTTCAGCTACCCCTGCTCTTCCCGCAGGCACACGTCCTCCTCCGGCCAGAAGAACGACACCTGTGGGTTGTGCCGTGTTCTTCCTGTCCTTAGAAAACCTTCTCGGCACTGGGCTTGGCTGGGGCTATGGGGACTAGGGGCATGGGTGCGTTTCTTAACAATACAAATGGGATTCATTCTCCCTTCATTCACCAGACTATTGACTGGTGAGGAGCTCGGGGCGGTGGTGGGGACTGCGAGATGTACAAACACATCTGAGAGAGAACCCTGCCCTCACCAAACTGGCAGCCCAGAGGGGAATGCGGCTCACAGCCAAACACCAGGATGCAGCCCAGCAAGGCTCATGAGAGACACGCCTGTCTGTGGAAAGGACTAACCCCTGCTGGAGGGTTCAGAACTTTCAGTCCTAATTCAGTCTCTCTCAACACGGAACAGGGCTAATCACAAGCCCACAACTCCAGCTGTGTATGTGGTTCGTGCCTAAAGTGCCAGCACTTCGGGAGGCCAACACAGGAGGATCACAAACTTGAGTCCAGACTGGGCAACTTAGCAAGATCCTGCCTCAAAATAAAAAAAAAGTGTTGGGGATGTAGCTCAGTGCAAAGGCCCAGGTTCAGTTCCCAGTACTGCATGCACGTGCGAGCACACACACACACACACACACACACACACACACACAGAGTTCACAACTCAGAGTGTGGTATAACAGAAAGTATGTATTTCTTGCTCCAGGTGCTGGCACACACCTCCTAGAGGCCCTGGAATCCAGGAGCTGTGTGTCTCATATGGCAGTGAGAGGACAGGTGGCTGCAGCCCTGGACAGCTCCATGGGGTGGGGGGGCTCCCGAAAGTCCCTGGCAGGGCCCACTGGTTGGAACTGTCGGCCTTAGGCTTGGCCTCTGGGGAGGGAGAGGAGCTCCCTCCTGGGGATTGGGTTCCATCATACTTGGTAGTGATTTCATTAATCACGCCTCCCCAATGAAACCTCCATGAAATCCCTGAGTCACTGGGTTTGGAGAGTTCCCAGGTTAGTGACTCTGGCAAGGTGCTGGGAGGCAGTGCACCTCAAGGGGCCCTGGAAGCTCCACCCACCCCAACCCTGCCCCAGGCAGCGTTTCCACTTGACTGCGGCTCCTGAATGAACCCTTTATGGTAAACTTTAAACTATAAACACAGCATCTCTGGAGAGTCTCATAAGTCTTTCTTGCAAACAGCCAAACCTCAAGGAGGAGGCTGTGGAACCCTGCAACTTCCCAAGAAACAGAAAAGTAGGAAGGATGGGGCCTCAGCCTACAGCCAAGGCCAGCAAGAAGGGCAGCCTTCCAGGACTGGGTTCCTAACGGTGGCGTCTGGGCTAGATCCACATGGTGTTAGGACTGCACTGGAGGGGATGGGTTCGTGTTGACTGGATTGAATTGTGCCCTCAATCTGTTGTGGCCTTTTCTGTACCGGTTACCACAGCCGTACACAGGCTGTTGAGCTCCATCTTTCAGAAGCAAAGAAGCTAAATAGTGTTCTTGGCCCCATCTTTCATTCACATCAGGAACTGCGCCCCCCCCCCCACCCCTCACCCCGCCAGCCTCATTCTTGGTACCAGGGCATTCCTTCCTCACCTGCCTTCTCCCCGGGGCAGCCAGGTGTTTCTGGTCCCTAGTCTCCACTTAGTGCTATAACTACCTTAGTCTTGGGGAGACTGTTCTAGAGTTTTCCCGCCAGATATTTATCATATCTTCTACCCAAAGTTGATTACCCCTCTTCGTGAAGATATGTCTCTTGCTTCTTTCCTGTTCAAGCAAGTGAGCAGCTTCAAACATAACTAAGTATCCTGTCTTACTGCACAAGGATTGGCAGAGTCGAATTTTTTCTAGTTGCAAGGAACAGTTACCTCACTGCGTCCAACCAGGAAATGTATTGTAAGTTATCAGATTGTCCCAGAAAATCAAAAAGCAGGGAAGAGCTAGGACCAGGGCATAGTGGCAGAGCACTTGCCCAGTAGGCATGAGGCCCTGGGTTCCATCCCCAGCACCACTTTAAAATGGAATCAGGGAGGACCATCAGAGTTACCACAGGACAGAGAGAAAAGCTGGGGAGCAGTCAGGGGCCAGGCTGCTGCTCTCTCAGACCCGTCCCACCCCAAACGTCAGCTGCATGTCTTTTCTCCACACATCGCATTGCTTATCTTCTTCATTCTTCTCACCACAGCCATTTTCCCTACTTCTCTGCCCACACAATGAAAGACGCCCTCCTATAGGCCCCAGGGGTTACAATTCTTCAGCTCAAGCAATCACTTGAAGCCAAATAAGACCACAGAATCCTCATCCAAACATCCAAAAGAAGGCAATTAGACAGCACCACCTGTGTTGTAAATAGCATTCAGATGGCCATTTGTGCCCAGAGAGGCAGTCGTGCAACACAGGCACGGTAGTGTGGAGGAGACAGCTCTTAGAGAAAAGCATGGGGGGTGCTGCACCTCGGGTGTGTCAGAGCACTGGAGAGCTCACTAGAAGTAAGCTGTAATCTTACTGCTGCGAGGCCACTTGTGGGAACAGAGGGGTCTTCAGCAGGTCCAGTTCCTCAGTCAGTGATGTTCGGTGGTCGGAGCAACTTCCAGGAGCAGCTGGAGATGCAGGGCGGCGATCTGCAAACACTGGGGGTAGCACTGGAAGTAGACAAACAGGAAGTACGCCAGGCAGCCGCTGAGCAGGAACAGGAAGACATACAGGAACTCTATCCGGGGGTGGTCGATGATGGGCACCAGCACCAGGCACAGAGCAGCCAGGATCATGACGGCGGGGATGAAAGTGGGGACCTGCGGTGGACACAGTACACATCTGGTCCCCAAGGATGGGGTGACGAGGGCCAGGGGAGGAGGTGCTCGGGCTCTGTCGCTCCTGCCTGCCTTCCTGTTGCTCCCACCTGCTGCCAGCTTCTCTGCTCTAGTCACTGCACGATACCTCTGCTGGGCACAGCTGCTGTGTGGGGAGCAGAGGCCTGGCTCAGCACGACCTCTCCGTGACGATGTGAGCAAAGGTCCACGCCACATTCTCTGCATTCGCTTCTCACTGGTCTCCCTCACGGGCCTCCCAAGGAGAAGCGGAGTCAATGCCTTGTGACTCAGCTGTCCCTCATCTCCAGAAAGACAGACACCCTCTACCAAGAAGCACGATAATGGCGGCCCTTACGCCCTTTCACCGCTGGGCCCTGAATGAGGCCCTAGCCCAAGACCTGCCTCACGTAGGAGTCTCTCCCAAAGCTACCTTGTAGGTCCGGGGAAGACTCTTCATCTTTATGCGCAGATACAGCAGACAGCTGATGGTGGCTCCATAGGTGAGCCAGGACACGGAGCTGCAGGGACAGGCCAAGAGGAGAGTCTGTGGGACTCAAGGAAGCCTGCCCTCTGCGGGAACAGAAGAACCCTTGCAGCGGAGCCCCCCGCCTTACCTTTGCCCTTGCTGGAGACACCACAGAAGGACCCAGACAAACCCCACCCCTGCGCTCCCCCAGGCCTGCAGCTCAGTGGCTCATGTCAGCGTGGTAGAAAGTTCAAGTGCCCTTGGAGCCAGGGCCCAGCCAACCCTTGAGCAAGTCAAGGCCAGGAAGTGCTGGGTGCTGGTTGGGACCTTCACTCCACCGGGACATTCTTAATCATGTGCCCTGATATCCATCCACCTGAAAACCCCCTGTTGCCTCTATGGATTTTACTTTATTCTCACCACCTAATTTTATTCTTTCTCACAGGACAAAAATAAAGCAGAAAAGCCATATCTGTTACTCACTGCTCCTAAGAGAGTCACATAAAATACTGTATGTCCTGTTCCAGGTGAATTAGACAACGGAGGAGCACGTGATGCCTTAAAAGCCCTGGGAACTCTGCGCACCCTGCATAGGGCTCACTGCCGGGTGAAGGCTCTCCCTATGGACCCTGCTCAGCTCATAAAATTGCAACTGGCCGTCACCCCAGCCTGTGGCTTCTGTCCCGAAGAAAGCAGTAAACGCGGTCAGAACGACTCGCTTTGATGCAGCCAGCAACTGGTGTCTACCACTCGTCAATCAAGATTATGCTGGGTCAGAGTCCAGAACGCAGACCCACGCTGCAAAGGGAGAACCACACCATGTCCTGGTTACACCACGGAGTACCATCACACTATCTTAGCCACCACCGAGCAAAGGAACAAGAAAAATGACTAAGCCCGAACCTTTGTCTGTCTCTTGGTGAAACAACTGGTCATACTGAAGTCTTGGGAGCAACCAGAACAAGAGAGGAGAGTCATACCTGTGAGCCCCCGAGCCTGGGCTTCCAGAAGTGTGCACAACATGGATATGTGTGTGTGCACGTGTGCGTGTGTACATGGGGCACCCGCTACCCCACCTAGGAGACAGCTTCACTTGCCTCAAGAAGTTCACAATTGTCCTGAAGTCCCCTGGGATGACCAGGACCAGAGCCACGGCTGCGGTGAACATCAGGGCAGGAGCTGGAGTCAGGTGACGCACATGGACCATGGACATAAGCCGGGGCTGGGAAGAAGACCCGGGGGTCAGGCAGATCTCGGGGACCCACCGTGGAGGCCCCTGCCCCTGACAGACACGCTCTGGACACCCATGTGCCTGGCCAAATGGGCGCCTAAGGAGTCACCCGGCTTCCCAGGTTAGATCTCTGTCCCCACCTGGGGTGACAGGCCCCAGGAGGAGAGGACAGGTGGGTCTGGGTGGACACGGAGAGGAGGACTGCGTTGCTGTGCTCCCACAGTGCTGATGTGGGCTGGGCCATCCCATGTGCCTGGCCGACAAACTGTGAGCGGAAGTGACAGGCAGAGGCTCCACATGTGACTCGGCCACTTGAACCCTGGACCCCACTGGAGCCACACAGGTGCCTGGAGTGTCACTGCTGCTTTGCCTGGGCCCCTGAGACAGGAGTGAGCACGGGGCAGCAGAAACAGCCAAACAAAGAGGGCCGAGGCTGACACAAAGGGTCAATGCAGTGTTGCTGCAAGAGGCTGAGATTTGGATTCCGTCATTCAGCGCTATCCTTGCAGGAAAAGCTACTGCAGGGCCAAGCGTCTCCGGTAGAGGAGGCTGCCGCATGCCGCTGGGCCCTCGCACCTTTGTGATGCACAAATATCCAGGCCGGCCACACCCTCCGCTCTGTGCCAGCCTGAAACCTGGAAGTCAGGGATTAGAGTCCAAACTGAGGGGCGCTTGAGTGCTGCTCTCAGGAGGACAGGGAGCCGTGTTTGTCGGGGAAGCCCGGTTGGAGCTAACTGCCAGGCTTCAGCAGGAGAAAGCACAGCTGTGGGCCTCCCGCGCCCGCCTGCAGCTGCACCCCGTGCGCCTGGACCCAGCCCTCACCATGTGGCCCTGTCTGGCAGCAGCGTAGCACACTCGGCTGCCACTGAAGAACACCACATTGGCAGAGCCCAACATTGAGAGCGCGACAGCCACGGGTATCAGCCAGGCCCAGGAGCCCAGAACCTGGTTCCTAGGACGACAGGGCAGTCAAGGGAAGGAGCTCCGGCTGCAGTCCCGAAGGTGGTCACAAAGTGAAAGTGGAGCTAGCAGCAGGCTCACAGGCAGGTCCAGGAGACACGAGCGCCTCGCTCCCCGCCGGGGCACCAGGACTCACTCACCCCCAGCTCACAGCCAGCGCCTCCGAGGAGAGGATCTCACGGGGTGACAGCACCAGGAAGTAGCTGACATTGACCAGGACGTACAGGCTGGTGACCAGGGGGATGGCGACTGTCAGGGCCAACACCAGGTTCCGCTGCAGGGTCAGGGGAGGAAGGCACACATCAGCCAGGAAGATCTCGGCAGCACCGGGCTGAGCTGCCTGGGATGAGAACCGTGCATCCTCTTCCATGAGCTCAGGCTGCCCACGCCTGGACACACACCCCAGCACACGGGCTGGGGCCCTGGAGGGTCCTTGCCACAACCCAGGCTGGAGAGCAGAGTGGGAAAGGGTGAGTTGGGGAGAGCGCAGTCACCAAAGCTCCCAGACTACAGAGCACCTTACGCTGGGCTCTCCTTGAAGGGTGGGAGATTCGGGAGACTGGGAAGGAGGATTTCCAGCAGGGGCAACCATGAGAGCCGAGCACAGGGAGGAGAGGAAACGTGAGGCCCCCGGAGAGGACCCTCTCTCGCGCAAGCATCTTTCTCTGGTTCACACTGCAGACAAAGTGGCTTCCGGATCTGTCTGCCAGGACTGAGAGTCCCCTGTCCCGGAAGCCCTGGAGGAGGAGACACTGAGGAAGGAGGGGACACTGAGGGTGGAGCCGTCACCCAAGTCAGGCCCAGTAACGACACCCTGCATTCCCCTCCACGTTTCCTGGGGACACCACATACATTGTCCTTTCTGGCACCAGTTCAAGTCCATGCTACTTCCACTCAGCACGTCAGCCTGAGAGGCCGGCTCGGTGCCCCCCAAAACCTTGTCTGCCCGCTCAGCCCCGTTCCTCAGCCACCTCCACCCCAAGCGGCCACTAGCACAGTGAAGCAAACAGGACAGCAGCGTTCTCTCAAGTCCCTCCCAGAACCAAAACCCAGGAATCTGAGTGCCCAGGAAGCTGTTCTACCAGAGCGTGATTCCTCATCACCCCAGCCCTGGAATCTGGCTCTGCCAGGTCCGGATGAGGCCCCCGGCAGCCTCGTTGTTCAGCGCTCTCCTCCACCGGCCTTAATTCACACTCAGAACCTAGGGAGTCTGGGGCTGGTGTTGCACATTCTTGAAACAGAGTATGAAATGGAGATACACCTAAGGCACATTTCAGAGGACCGTGTTAGAACAGAATCTCAAGGGCCAGCCTTTGAGCACTAGCGTCAGAAATGTGGATAGCTTCCTACAGCTGTGGACCAAATCCGGCCCGGTAGTGCGATGGGAACAGATCCCCACTGCTTTGTTTGTTTATGGCTGTTTCCAGGCTACAACAGAGTTGAACTAACATGGCAGGGACCGATGACCCACAGCACCTAAAACGTGAAGCCTCTGACCCATCATGGAAAAGCTATGCCGACCCCTATCGTAAGCAGGACCATATCCCACACACCGGATGCTCCTGCTGCTTCCCCAGGCCCAGGGAAAGGGGATCCCTCCCTGCACACAAAGGAACCTCTGCTCTGTACCCCCAGCCCAGCCCAGAGCCTCGCTGAGACCTCGCTCCGGTTCACCTGGGAGCAAGGCAGTGCCTGCCCAAGCCATGTGCTGGGGGTCGGTGAGCACTGCCACCCAGGGCCCAGGGACGTAGCAGGGCAGCCATCACCATCCGTCCCACCGCACCGGCAGAGGGCGGAGAGACGGCAGATAGCGCGAAAAAGTAACCACTAGGTGGCAGCCTCCTGGCTCTTGCCCCAGTCCTCTCTCTCTGTCTGTCTCTCTCTCTCCCTCCCTCTCTCTCTGCTCTTGGAGTTCAGTTTCCAAGATCGTCTTCTCTCCAACCCCCTGTGAGGAGCCAGGTGGAGACTCTGAGAGCTGTGACATCCCCTAAGCCGGCCCAGGGCACAGAGAGGAAACTTGCTGCTCTCATTCTGAAAGAAATGAAAACTCCTATGGGGAAAAGAAAACAAAAAACAAAACAACGAACATCCTAAGCGAGTACAGTCACAGCAGACTGAAAATCCCAACTCATCCCAGACCCAGGTGTCCCAACAGAGTCCCCGGGCCCGCAGACCTGTCCCTCACCTCGGCAACGGCCAGTCAGCCCTGAGTTGGCAGGTAGGGTGACAGTGGGGCTGGCTTCCTGCCCTGTCCCAAAGCAGGCCATGTCCAGGAGCGGCCAGGGCCGTAGCAGCTGTGAGTTCAGCGTCTACCCCAGAGAGCTGGTAGACCAACCCAGGAGACACCAAGCAGCGTCATCAAGCATGGCCGCTTGGCAGGATGAATCACCAAGACTTTCCCTTCCCTAAACCTCAGACTTCCCACATGAGAAAATGGAGTGCCGAGCCTACCTCACAGGCGGGAAGACGAGGTGCTGGCTGACCCGTGAGAGGCCGTGCTGAGCTGACCGAGGCAGACAACGAGCAGCTCTCGAGTCCCGGGCGCAGGGAGGACCCATGCGCCTGGCCGCAGTCCCCCCACCCCGAGAGTCGCCCGAGTGCATGGCCTTACGGACTCACCCTTGGACTCCTGAGTTCCTCCACCACGTAGTGGATGCTGTTCCAGCCGTCAAAGGACCACAGCCCCTGGTAGAAAGCCATGCCCACACGTCCCGCCTGCTGTGTTGTGTTGTGGAAGGCGAACAGAAGCGCTTCTGTGCGGCCGCGGCCCTGGCCCAGCACCATGGCCCCACCGGCCACGATGACCAGCAGCGAGAACACCTTGGCAGCCGAGCACACATTCGTCAGGGTGGTGGCCAGCCGTGAGCTCCAGGAGTTAGCCAGCGTCAGCAGCAGGATGCAAGAGGCTGCCACACTCTTGACCATAGCCTGGGGCACCGAGTGGCAGCCCAGGTAAAAGGGAGCCAGCGCATACTCAGCCAAGCTCAGAGAGAGAGCAGCAACCCCAGCCGGTCTGCCCACCAGCACAAACATGTAGATGACCAGGAAGGCTGGCAAGGAGCCGAAGGTTCGCAAGATGTAGGCATACTCTCCCCCCGCTTCGGGAAACAGCGCACCCAGCTCCGCATAGCACAGGGCGCCTAGCATGGCCAGGAAGCCGCACAGGGCCCAGACCACCAGACTGGCCCCGGGACTGCCCATGTAGACCAAGACGCCCTGCGGGGACATGAAAATGCCAGAGCCGACCATGCAGCCAGTGACCAGGGACACAGCACTCCCCAGCCCGATCTGCCTGTGCAGGGTCAGCCCTGGCCCTGCCGCCCCATCTCGGTGGCCTCCGTCCTTCCCGCTGTCCATATTGGAACTCCTGCAGGCACTGCCTCTGGGCCAAGGCAGGGGCTCTGGTGCTGCCCTGCGGGCTTCCTGTGGAGTTAATGATTACAGCAGATAGTCTTGGTCAAAGAGCCAGGGTGTGGCCTATGGGCCGACCTCCCTGACCTCACTGTACCTGTCCCACCCAGATCCCTGCGGGCACTTCAGCAGCACAGCCCTGCCAAAGTCAGGGTAGAGAGGCTTCTGATTGTTTATTTGTTTAAATATGCCGCTTTTTTGTTTTCATTTTCACAGCACTGGGGCTTAAGGCCACAGCCTCGAACATGCTAAGACAGCTCCCTACAACTGAGTGAACAACCAGCCCCTTTTAGGGCATGATACAGTCTTATTACACTGCTGGCTTCAAACTTAATGATCCTCCTGCCTCAGCCTCCTGAGTAGATGGGATTATAGGACTGTATCAGTGTGCCCAGCAAAAAGGAGTTTTAGTAGAAATTTAGTACTATGGATTGACTGGCGTGTTTCCGGTAGGGTGGTGGCTTAGCATACACAAGACACCAGGTTTGATCCCAGGACTGAAGACAGAAAGGTTCGCGATTCCACAGCAGCAGGGCAGGGGGAATGACGGACAGGGAGTGCTGCACCTCGGGAGCCAAAGGCCTCTTTCGGACCAATCCCCAGCGAGTCTGTCAGGAAACAGGGTTACAATGCAGACAGCCTTTAATTACAACTGGGCAATTTCTATCTAAAAGAAGAACCAGGATGACCAAAGAAGAGAACCCATGCTGTAAGACCTAAAGTCTCACTTCCACTCCACGGAGCGTGAACAGCCGAAAGGCCTCCACGATGCTGGGCCCTAACACCCAGCGAGGCTCCGGGAACACGACAGAGAACGAGAAACCCAGGAAGGAACACACCAGCCTAGATGGTAAAGAGACCTTTATTAGTCTGGCCAGACGGCACTCCCGGAGCCAGGTGGCTCAGAGAGGCAACTGCTCAGGGGCTGAGGTACTTTTTATAAGGTTTTACTAAACAAAGAGTCAGGGAATTCACAGAACAAGACTGCAAACACATTGCTTATCTTATGCAGGAAATGTTCTAGGTTCACCTTTTGTCAAACCATTTGCCCCTAGGCGGGCTGTTAACCAAGGTAGCAATTAGCATATGAAGAAGCACAGTCTGGCCTATTAGCATGGAGTCTCTTTAGCCTATTCAAGTCTTACAATGCAGAAAGGTCCAGGCAACTCCCTAGCAAGAAGGGAAGAAGGGCCTCGGAGTGTGGGTTCTGGAATGAGGCTCTTTGGTTCAGATCCGAGCTGCAGCACCTCTTAGTTGTGTGGCCCTGGACCAGATCTCTGAGCTTCACTTTACCCGCCCCCTTTAGCTAATAATAATGCTTGAAGGATTAAAAGAACAGTCCAGAGTAGCTAGAATAGTGTATCACACATAGAAAAGGTTTCTTCCAAATTTGCTATTGGTTTTTTGATACAGTGTCTCACTATGTAGCTCAGGGTAGATACTACCCTTGAAATTAATGATGTAGCCTCACTTGGCCTCAGTTGTGGCAATCCTCCTGTTTCAGCCTCCCGAGTACTGGGATTACAGGCATGTGTCACCCTATGCCTGGCCTCCTTATTGTTAGCACTACTCTGGCTCAGAGTGTCATCAGTTATATGGGATGTAAGAAGAATTGAGATGTGTTCTGTGTATGTGCCAGCTCCCTATGAAGAATATAACCATTATATGTTACAAACATATACAAATAAAAACAAAAATTAGCCAGGTATGGTGGCACATGCCTGTAATCCCAGCACTCTGGAGGCTGAGGCAGGAGGATCACTGTGAGTTCGAGACCAGCCTGGGCTACATAGTGAGTTTCAAGTTAGCCTGAACTACATAGTAAGACCCTGTCTCAAAAAACTGAAAAAAAAAAAAAAAACCAATATATACTTAAGACTGAATTTTATTAACCTATAAATAGCGTTCATTTCAGAATAGAGTATGTAACTTCTATATTGATTATCCTCTTTAAAAAACATATAAGGTCATAGAGCCTTTACTAGTATTGTTAGAGAAGGGTAACCCATACTCACTGGCATGTTGGGGTCAAGACGTTCACTCTCAAAGTGGGCAGAAAGGCATCTGCGCTCCCCCCCCCCCCCCCCCCCGCCCAGGTTGTCCTAGCTCAAGCCGGCTGTGTGTGCACAGTCGAAGAAGCTCTTGACAGACTGGGGCTTCGCCTGTTATGGTTCACAGGCGTCCGTCCTACTTCCCACACACTGTTGTGCTGCAGCCCACACCGATCCTCAGAAAGTGTCTGGGGAGCGGCCCCCCAAGATTCATGCCCAGAGGAAAGGAAGACAGAGGGCAGAGAAACAGGTAGGGGTAAATAGATAAAAGAATTGGGGAGAGAGACGTCTTGCTGGGGTGTAGCCAGCGGTGGGGCCATTGCCCAGTGTGTGAGGTCCTAGGTTGTTCAATCCCCAGTACTGGAGAAGGAAAAGGAAAGAGTCTTGGAGGCCAGGAAAGAGGCTTTCTGGAAGCCGTTCCATTTAACTATTTTGTAACTCTGCACTGAAATTTCCACCCTTCCCCTAGAGGCTGCAGCTGGTAGGTAACTGCCCTCACCTCCGACACCAGCTGCACCTTTAGGTGCCCCAAGGTCATGCTATGTTCCATACCCTGCTCGAAAGGCCTGCACAACCTGCTGAAAGCGTTCACATACGTGGTTCCGGTTTATTACACCTGAGGAATTCGGATTACAGTCAGCCCAGGGAGGAAGTCAACAGAGCAGACTCCAGGAGGGATCCAAACACAGACCTCTCCAGTTGTCAATTCCCATGGAATCGAGACAAAGCCACGCTCTCATTATCAGTGCTTGATAACATGCACATCACTGCCAGCCAGAGACACCCCCAGGGGGCATGGTGTCGAGTCCTCGGTGAGGGCTGCCACACACACAGGCCGGCTGCCTGTGGCCGATCTCTGTTTCAAGCCTCTCACGAGGTCCAGCTGACTCTTTATGACCCAAAGCCCTAATGTGAAGCCACATCATTATTCTCCGGGGGATCCAAGAGTTCCAGGCAAATGAAGACGCTCTACTAAGCATGACATTCAGAAGCCTTTTGAGATTTCCTTCCAGAGGCTGAAGGCAAGGGTCAGACCTCCCATTAGCAAGATTGAATTCTTTTCTATGCAGAGGTAGAGGTACCTGAGATCTGAGAACACTAGAAAACAACAAAACAACAAAATTTCTTTCTCCCTTCTCCTTCTCCCTCTCCCTCCCTCTCTCTCTCTCTCCCTCCCTCTCTCTCTCTCTCTGTTTCTCTCTCCTTTCCTGCCCCCTCTCTCTCTCATATACTGGGAATTGAATCCAGGACCTTGCTTATACTAAACACGCTATACCATGGAGCTATATGCCTAGACCCTAAAAATTGTCTTTAGTGGCTCACTTTGTTATGTTTTTTTGTCTCAGTACCAGGGATTAAACCCAGGACCTTTGCGCTAAACTATCCCCAGCACTTTTTCTTTTATTTTTGAGTCAGAGTCTTGCAAATGTGCTACATTGTCCAGGCTGGGCTCGAACTTGCAATCCTCACACCGCAGCCTTCCCGAGAGCTGGATCACAGGTGTGCACCACCACGCCAGCTCCTCTACAGCATTCTAACTCAGTTTAACCTCATCCCTCACTGTCCAGCTCTTGAGTACCTGGAAAACAACAGCCTGCATTCTTAGCATCACACCCTGTCCTGGCAAGAGCAGAATGAAAACAAATAATTGTAGCTTTGGTTGTGACCTGTCCTGTGGCTCCCTAGAAGTCCAGCACAAGTCTTATCTCACCGAACTTGGAACTGGCCAGTGCAGAAACAATGCAAAGCTGCTGACCACAGGGCAAATGAGAGAGAAACCAAGATGCTTGCAAGGAAAAGTTGGGGAATGACAGCTTCTGGAGGATAAGAGTCATGGAGACTTCCGACGTACCTGGGACTCTAGAAGGTCACATCTGTGCCCGAGTTGGTGTGCTGGATTGACACAGGCCTGAGGAGGCTCCAAGCTCTCCCCTCAGCATCACCTTCTGTCAAGTACTTCTCTGTCCACATAGGAAGTGAGGCCTAGCAGAGCTGCTGACGCCTGGCTGCATGCCCAAGTGTGTGCCAGTACCCACACCGCATGGAGCCGGTCTGCAAGTGCCAGGGGTGTCTTTTCTTCCAATCATTAGCTGACTATGATGCCCATGGGTAGTATAACAGAATAAACCCATGCCTGAATGGCCAACTGATTTTCATTTATGGTGCCAAGATCATTCCACCAATAATTCTCTTTTCAACCAAAAAACGGTGTTAGAGCATTGGATATCTATGTGAAAAAAAGAAGAAAAAACTTGGATGTCTAGCTCACATCACACACAAAAATTAACTCGAAATAGATCCGAGACCTTTTAGAGCTTTTAAAGACCTACGGAGGAGTTAAAACTATAAAATTCTTATAACATTTGCATAGCTGTAAATCTTCGTGGCCTTGGATTAATTAATAGCTCCTTAAATATGCCACCGAATGCATAAACAATGAAAAAGAGGCAAATTAGATTTTGTAAAAATTTAAAAGGATGCTATCTAGAAAGTGAAAGACAACATACAAATGAGAGAAAATGTCTGTAAATCATGTGTGTGAGAAGAACCTGGTGTACAGAATACACAAACTCTTGCATATCAACAACAAAAAGACAAATATCTCAATTTTTAAGTGGTGAAAGGATTTGAACAGACGCTGCTTCCCCAAGAAAGATATTTAAATGACCACTGAGTACAAGAAAGGATGCCCAAAATTATTAGTCATTAAAGAAACACAAATCAAAACCCCCATGTGGTTGTGCACTTCTGTAACCCCAGCACTCTGGGAGGCTAAGATCAGGGGATTGCAAGCTTGTGCCCAGCCCAAGCAACTTAATCAGACTCCGTCTTAAAACAATAACAATAATAATAAAGGGCTGGGGATATAGCTCAGTGCAAAGACCCTAGCTTCAA